ATTTAATTTTTAATCAATAAGGACAGAAAATAACGTAAACATTTATTTACACACCCATCTTTTGACCATCATTGGAGCGTTCGTTGTCCGTATGAACTGTATATTCGTTAATATGTATATTCCCTTTTACACAGCGGCAAAATATGATGGATATATTAAATTACATTTATTTAATAGTATGTAGGAATTATGAGTATTTGCACGTGAGAGAGTTGTTGTAAAAATAGCCCAAAATATATACAGCTGTCATCAAAGTAACTTGTAACAATTGTTCTATAAATATTAGAGCTTAGTGTTAAAATCAAGATTGGAAAGTGTTATAGTTAATAATACTTACATCTTGAGATTAATTATCGTTTAGAACGTTTGCCAGAAATTCAATTCAGCTAGGTTTTAAAGCAGTTAAACGATATTTGAAACGAATTTTGAGTTTAATTTAGAAATTCAGCTAAGTGAATCTCATATTCAGCTACAAATTTGAAATTCAAGGAAATGTTTATCGTATATGACAATTCAGCTAAACAAAAAGGCAATTCAGCTAAGATTTTAAATGATTAATAAGTGTTGTAGAACAATTTTGTAATTAATGCCCTTATTTAGCAATTCAGCTAAGCCAAAATCATATTCAGCTACAAATTTTCTATGAAATGACAATTCAGGATCTTTAAAATACAGTTCAAATAACTATGTTTTCAAAACAGTTAAATAATATTTAATGGCAAAATTTGAATTTTATCAACATTATATTAGAATTCAGCAAAGAAAATCTCATATTCAGCTACAAATTTTAAGTAAATTAAAAATTTAAGGTAATCATTTTGAAAAACAACGATTCAACTAATTAAAAATGTAATTCAGCAGAGGATTTTAAACGACCAATGTTGTGTTTTAGAAAAATTTAAGAAGTAATGTTGTTATTTTGTAATTCAGTTAAACCAAAGTCATATTCAGCTAAAAATTTTATAAGAAAAGTTTTAATTTTGTTAACAAATTAAAAAAATGGCAATTCAGCAGAGAATTTTAAAGGGTTAATAAGTGTTTTAACACAATTTTATAATTAATGTCCTTATTAAACAATTCAGCTAAAACAAAATCATATTCAGCTACAAATTTTATAAAAAATGACAATTCAGCATCTTTAAAATACAGCTCAACTATATTTTCAAAACAGTTAAATAATATTTAATGGCAAAATTTTAATTTTATCAACATTATATTAGAATTCAGCAAAAAAAATCTCATATTTAACTACAAATTTTAAGTAAATTAAAAATTTAAGGTAATCATTTTGAAAAACAACGATTCAACTAATTAAAAATGTAATTCAGCAGAGGATTTTAAACAACCAATGTTGTGTTTTAGAAAAATTTAAGAAGTAATGTTGTTATTTTGTAATTCAGTTAAACCAAAGTCATATTCAGCTAAAAATTTTATAAGAAAAGTTTTAATTTTGTTAACAAATTAAAAAAAATGGCAATTCAGCAGAGAATTTTAAAAGGTTAATAAGTGTTTTAAAACAATTTTATAATTAATGTCCTTATTAAACAATTCAGCTAAGCCAAAATCATATTCAGCTAGAAATTTTATAAGAAATGACAATTCAGCACCTTAAAATACAACTGAGCTAAGTTTTCAAAACATTTAAATAATATTTAATGGCAAAATTTAAATTTTATCAACATTATTTTGGAATTCAGCAAAGAAAATCTCATATTTAGCTACAAATTTTAAGTAAATTAAAAATTTAAGGTAATCATTTTGAAAAACAACGATTCAACTAATTAAAAATGTAATTCAGCATAGGATTTTGTTGTTATTTTGTAATTCAGCATAGCTAAAGTCATGTTCAGCTAAAATTGTATAAGAAAATTTAAAATTTTATTTAAAAATTTAAAAAAAGTTAATTTATCAGCTTTAAAATACAATCCAGCAATGTTTTGAAAACAACTAAATGATATTTTAAGAAAAATTTAAGTTTTTTAAATACTATTGAAATTCAGCTAATGAAATCGCCTACAAATTTTAAGTAAATTTTAAATGTAAGAATATATTTGTGAAAAAAACCATTCAGCTAAATGAACATGTAATTCAGCAGAGCATTTATAATACTTAAATATTATATGTATTACGCTTCTTTTGCAATTCAGCTAAACAAAAGTCCTGTTCAGCTACAAATTTTATACGAAAGTTTTAAATTTAGTTAAAATTTGCAAAAGAGACAAATCAGCTGCTTTAAAATACAATTCAGCTATGTTTTGTAAACAACTAAAAAAATTATTAAAACATTTCTAACTAATTATATGGAAAAAATTGCAAAAATAAACATAAAACTGCTTTAAACTACAATTCAGCTAACTTTTTAAACGAGCTAAATGATATTTTAAATCAAATTTTGAAATTCAGCAAAGAAAAGCTTATTATATTCAGCTACAAATATTAATAATATTCGTATATATTCTTGAACACGATAGACTTATAAATAAGCTATTAAGGGATAAATATTAATAAACAGTTGCTCAATTCACACATGGTGTTGTATCGTTGTATGTCATAAACATTTTGCAAACTAAATTTTTACGACTTATGTACCACAATACGCAGCGATTGTGTATTGAACAATTATTTTTATGTAAATATAATTGTATTTAATTATCTAACCATATTTCTAATCTAATAAATACTTTTAACATAAACACTAAGATAAACGTAGTTAACATAAACAAACAGCGATAGTTTTTGACTGTGTATTTTGCACTTTACTGGTAATAACACATATGTGTGCTTTTTCCACTCATTATTGTTATTGTACCCGTCGTATTGGTCGTTTAACACTCTGATGTCTTTGTTTACAGATGTAGACAAATGAAGAACTGCTATATACGTTTGTATACATTTACATTTTATTAAAAAGTAGATACATATGTATGTATACATATACATACATATGTACATAATCATTTGAATTCAGAAAGCATCACAACATCACGGTTTGTTTCAGTAGTCCAACAGTTGTGATACTTGTCTCGTTTCTACTTGACATGGAAAATTCCTTTGGAAATCGCAGAATCTTAAAAATATATTTCCCAGTTTAACAAAAATTTTCAAAATCAATAAATTTACCTTGAAAAATTCAATTGGTATACATTGCCACTATCAAAACTACGGGGCATTTACATGCAAATGTAAAACAACTCTTTATTGTCTGTCATGTAAAGATTAGTTTTAGTAGTATTTAATTGATATTGTTTTATTAAAAACAATACTTACCAAAACATTAAATAAAGACAGAAACAATTAACAACAACTAAGAAAATATAGTCGTACTTGAACGACCTTATAATACCCTATACCTGCTATAAAAAGGTATTCAATTTTAGAACCAATTCTTACGAAATTTTGCCACGAGATGTTAAATATTTCCTCCTTAATTATACCCTACACCACTTCAGTGGGGAGGGTATATTGGGTTTGTGGTGATGTTTGTAACGCACAATAATATTGAACCTATACCCACCTTAAAGTATACCAATCGGCTCAGAATCATTTTCGATTTAGCTATGTCCGTCCGTCTGTCCGTCCATGTAAAACTTGTAATCAAACTACAGGTCGCAATTTTCAAGATAATTCAATGAAATTTGGTACATGATCTTATATTGTCCCAGGGACGAAGCCTATTGAAAATGGTCCATTATTTCACCTAGCCCCCATACAACTGAACCCCCGAATAGGGCTTTTAAACTTTGTAATCACACTACAGGTCGCAATTTGGAGATAATTCAATGAAATTTGGCACATGATCTTTTATGGTACCGTAGACGAAGCCTATTGAAAATGGTTAAGATCGTTCCATTATTTCACCTAGCCCCCATACAACTGAACCCCCGAATAGGGCTTTTAAACTTTGTAATCAAACTACAGGTCGCAATTTTGGAGATAATTCAATGAAATTTGGCACATGATCTTTTATGGTACCGTGAACAAAGTCTATTGAAAATGGTTAACATCGGTCCATTATTTCACCTAACCCCCATACGACTGAACCCCCGAATAGGGCTTTTAAACTTTGTAATCAAACTACAGGTCGCAATTTTGGAGATAATTCAATGAAATTTGGCACATGATCTTTTATGGTACCGTAAACGAAGCCTGTTGAAAATAGTTTATATCGGTCCATTATTTCACCTAGCCCCCATATAACTGAACCCGCCGAATAGGGCTTTTAAGTTCATAATTATGTTTAATATACTCATATCTCCACAAAAAGCTGCAAAAACCAAATTCTATACAAGATTTGATGGCCCTCACGAATTCCATAATAATAGGTCCTCATATGACCCTAGCCCCTATGAAAAGCCCCCATCAGAATTTCACTTAAATGTCCACAATTTTATTCAACAATAAACGGCTTAAGTATGTATATCTGAGGCAAGATACAATTCAATTTAAATGCTTTATTATGGCAACTAAATCACATTATATTTTTGTCAAAGGTGTAGGGTATTATATGTTCGGCCTCGCCCGACTATAATTTCTCACTTGTTTTTCATATCAAAAGGACAAGAAGGAAGACTTTATATATCAATGGATTGGAAATTAAGTCTATTTTTAATAAGTCTATTTTTATTTTTAACGAACTTTTACAGTTATGTTAAATATGTTAGAACCATTAAAATCATTGCTAACATTAATAATCGTTTTTAAATATGGGACTTTATACATATTTATCACACAATTAAATAATTATATTTACATTAAATTATTACATACTCCATATTGCAGACACACATGAACGTATGAGTAATATTACAATAAAATAAAAATAAACGACAAACATTTACATTTGTAATAATAATAAAAACAAACCTATTTAAATGAATAACTGAAATGCAATCAATTTAAAATAGACATTATATTTAATAACAATTTAATTGTCATCGATATATGTATTTACTAAATGATTTGACAGTTGAACCATTAACACCTTTCAATCGTCAATGACAATGAAAACATCAACGTTAAAAACTACGTCATCAGCAGGAACAACAACAGGCCCAACAACTACAACTAAACTTACAAAACGAATAGACAATGCAAATAGTAAATCGAATCGAGATACACATGCAAAATGCAATAATATGTTAGAAAATACTAAAGTCGCCAATGCAAATAATTGCAAGGACATGGTACAAAATGAACTTAATATGACAACAGCAACAATAACACGTAATCATCATTATCATCATCAACATAACCATCATCATCTTCAAGTGCCACACCAACATCAACACCATCATCATCATCAGCAGCAGCAACAACACCTGCAATTGCCTCAGCACCAACAGCAACAACAACAACATTGTCAACTAGACAAAATTTCTGTTCATTCGATTAGTTCAGAGGATATATCGACAACAGTTGGTGGTAAATGTTGTAGTGCTGCAGCACGTAATCCGGCAATAAAAACTGGTCGTCGTATACAATTGATGCAGGTAATTATTGCACTGTTTGCGGCAGTACTATAACAACAATATTATGCAAATGTCTTTGTTATTTTCACAATTGTAAGTCAATTAAAATTGGCATATTGTATTCGAAATTTATGATAGAGTAACATAAATTTGTAAATTTTCAACTTGAATATAACAAATAGCAATATTTTGCAACTCCTAACATATATTTAGTATTTTTGTGGTCTGTTAGAGCACATTGTTTCCAATTGTATTTTAGAAACGTTTAATTGTATTGTAATTCAAAATTTCCAAATTATATTTCAGGAATTTTCAATTTAATTCATTGAATATTCTTTTCATTTCTAATAAATTTTCGAAGTTAGAATACAAAAAGCTAATGAACCTATTCTTAAATAATACTAAATAACTAAATTATGCTTTGTTTTATGAAATGTTTTAAACTGTATTTATTTCAGATGATAATTTTACCTTTTTATACCGATATTGGCGTTAATAGTACAAACATCCGTAATACTACAAGAAATTCTTGACTATCGAGCAGAAGTTGCGGACATTGAAACACAAGTAAGTGGTATAAATGCAAATATT